GGGGGAATATCTTTGGAAAAGTAATGATAATTGTCAGCTGCATCCTGCAGGAATATCTTTGGGAGAGCACTGATAATGTCCAGCTGCATGCTGCAGGAATGTGCTAGAAGGAGGGAAGAATAGTATATAACACACAGTTTTGGTGATGTGACTTCAGATCATCTGCCCTGCTGCTTGCTGTATGATCTCCAGATATATCTGCTAATAAAAGGTAATATAGTGCACTTTGATATTTGGTGTTGTGACTGAATATTCTTTCCGCTATCTGGACTCGAGAAGAAGTCTGAGACTTCACAATAGATAGATAGATAGATAGATGCAGTTCACTACAAAGCATGAATAATCTACTTAATCTTTATTCTGTTAATTATGTATTTTTATACTTATTTTTCTTTGAAAAATAATGAAATACTTTGTCTATCTATCCATCCAGAGGATATTGCAGTTAATTTTTTCACTTAATTTTTAATTAAATACAACAATAGAATGAATTATGTGTGACTATTAGGATGACTGTAACAATGAGCAATTTGCTGGTAAAAAAAAGACTAACATCTTCCAATTTTTGGCTCCAGTCAAAGCTTATTGGCTACATACAGGATGACTAGAATGTTTAAGTGCTGTCTGAGAGGTTTCCCTAAGGCACAGCAGTATCCATATTTTGAAGCTTGAACTCATACTGTATGTGGATTTCTTTCTCTGCAACCCCCTCCCAAAAAACAAAAAACTTGTAGCAGCTACAACAATAATGATAATAATAATAATAAAGCACAAATCATAGTTAACACTTTATTGTTACAGGTACAGTACATTGCAAAGGCAGCAGTATTTACAAGGCCAAAGGCTACACCTACAGTTTGTTGCGAAGCTTGATAAATATATTGCTGTCTCTTCCACTCTACTTGCAACTCAAATTGTAAGTTCATAAAAAATACAATATTATGAGTCTGAGCAAAGCTCCCATTGTACTATGTACAATTCAATTAAAATAGTTTGTGTTTGTTCATAAATATAACGACTAGACCTTATAGTACATAGAATTTGCATCCTTGGCAGATTTAAAAGATGAGATAAAATAAGTTTTCTGTAAATCCTCTCTGACAAAAGCATGTTTTCTTGTGCAAATAATATAAATAATTTATCTACTGTAAATGCTAAAAGCTGCACAATTAAAAGTTACAGTAAGTTGTTTTAAGTAACAGATAACCTACACAGCAGCATGTAGGTTTGGGAGATATTACAGTAGATTTGCAGCATGTTAAAGTAGTTTATTGTGTACAACTTGCGTAAATCACTATCCATAATCTCTTCTATGATAGTCATCAGGTTTAAATTCACACACTCAAGCACCCACAGACAAAAACACATAAGGCCCACTACTTTGAACAAAAAAAGAAACTTCCCTTTTTTCTTATTGATAATGTTCATGTTTTCCAATGCTATGATAGTTAAATACATTCTTTTAAGTTACAATAAAGGTCTTTCAAGGATTGCACATTTTCCCTTGACAATTAAAATAATATAACTGAAAGAGAATCAGTTAGCTTTGGTATGCCATTTATCAAAAGTGAAAGCTGTTGACCTCGGTAGCAAATGCTTGCTTTGCTTTATGACAGTTTCTATTATTAGTGCAATAAAAGCCTACATTTCTTTACAACAGAAAATTCGCTCATTTATCAGACAGCACTGCTGCATGTCTGAAGATGTAACTTTTTGACATTTTGGTGTACTCAAAAAAAGAGTGCTTGTTGACCACTGAGTTGATAGCAGCAACCCGAGACAGGACCAGAGGCTAGGCATGGCACAGAGTGCTGTGCAGGTACAGGTGTCACACACTGCCAGACCGCTATCAAAGAGTTGAACCTGAAACTCTAGAGTCTGGGAGAAAGGCTGTGATAGCTTGGTAGCCCTGGGCTCGTCGAATCATGTCTCGCATCTCTCCATTAAGCTCCATCAACTTGGAAGAGATTTCTGTCAGGTCCTGCTTTGAGCCAACCAGAGCAAAGGTTCCTGTTTGACCCAAAGACTGATGTCTGAAGTAGATATTCAGTAAGGTCTGGATCTCATCCTCAGACTGGCTGCCAAAGATGTCATTCGGCCACACTGCTCTGAAATAAAAATGACATAATATTAATTTGACCAAGGGCATTTTTGACATAAAAATCTCCAAGGTAAACAAGCATTTTGCTTTTCTTACCTGCACTCACGAATATAGCGGATGGCTAGTGGAAACTCTTTGTTCTTCAGACCCTCCAGGATGGCCTGCACAGCAGCCTCAGAAGAGGTCAAGGTGGGCTCAGAGCAGCAGCTCTCACAGGCAGCAGTCTGATCATCTGTCACTGAGGCTGCTGCTACCCTCAGGTTGCACTTTAACTCATTTAGCTCTCTGGACATATTAGTCAGCTAAAGGTTGAGAGGGATTATTATTATTATTAAACAGTGATATAGATTAGACAGTGGGTGTCATGCTTCCAAAAAGGGAAGACAAGCAAATGCATAATATACCTACCTCAGGAATGAAGCTTATTGCATGAACCTGTTCAATAAGTTTACAGTAGGACTGAAAAAGCAGCAGCAGCTGAAAGTGGAGTTTGTAGAGTCTCTGACAGAGCTCCAGTTGCTGAAGGTAGGAGAAAAGTGGGTATTAGCAAACAGGAATTTAAATTGGCTAGGTTTCTTTTTTTAACGTATTATTTAATACTTTATTGGGCATAGTCTGAGCTCCTCATTTGGTTGTTAATAAACTCTCATATAGTAAAACTACTGTGGAATTATTTGTACATACTGTAGATGCCAAATCTGCTGCACCTAGACAAAATACTTCTGAACAATCAATTTGCAGAAAACAAGTTTTCCTTAAATAGGAAATATCTAAAAATATTATTTAAAACAACAAAAAGAAAGCCTTATCCAATTTACTACAAAGCAAACATGTTACAGGACAGAAAAGGAGTACAGAAAACAGAATCAAAAGAAGGGCATGCAATTTCCCATTATTTCCAGTTAAAAGTGGGTGAAAAACATTAGCACAGATCCTTTTACTGTCATGCACAGAAGACAAAAAGTGATGGTTGATGTATGTGTAAATAAAAACTGCAAGGAGGGATGATAGTCACCATAAATTCATTAAGAAGCAAAGTGAAACAAGCCAAGCAAATTAACAGTTCTAACTGTTAATTAGCACAAAAGCACTCACTTTCCATTTTGCTGTTTTCATTCCTCAATTATAAAGTGAGTGAATTGTTTACTGCTAGATTAAATGCAAATGAAGAGAAATGCTCTCATGCCCAGCAGAGCTGAAAAAGATCACAGCGCACATTGGATATGAAATAATCAATGTGACATGCGGCAACTCAGAGTTGTAAGAAACTTCACATTTATATAGTGAGAAAATTAGAGGCAACACTCACAGAGCTACAGTATCACACAGTAATCGCAATGCAGAAAGTACAGTATGAAAGGTCAGTTCAAATGGAATACTTAGTATTTTTAGTAATTTTTGTAAATGGCCATTATAACAAAATCAGTAACATTTTTGTTTGGTAGGACACTGTCTGCCACATAAAATACTAAACCAGTGTTTTACATAAACTTTGAATTGATATGATAGCATTTCCGAGTTATTACTTAAATTCCGTGACAAAAATAAGGTGTTACCTCTTCGTCATGCTCTGCTGGTTGACATGTTACCACTGTGGACCCAGCACTCCTGGGAAAGGTGGCCTTATACTTGCTCAACCACTGTGGGAAACAGAGACAACTTAATTACAAAATAAACAGCTCACTGACAACACACAAGTACCATTTTGAACAGAATGCACAATATTTAATCTCCTTACAGAGAGAACTGCCTCCTTTCTGTTGTTGTAAGTATCAAGATACTCTTGAAGTTCCAGTACGCTGAATTTCATTTTTTCCAAGAGTCCATAAGACAAAATCTGTTGAAATAGAGTTTTGTTATTGAATTTATTCAACTACTACTAGCATGCCATACTGTTTAAAAGTATTAGAAAATGGATAATGTCATGTTACTCACTGTGTCTGCATCAATAAATAGTGTTGGGCATTCTGAACAGGATGTCAGCATCTGGGAAGACCTCATAAACTGGGATCCTAATCCCTTCAATCTGTCATTGAGGTAACTCACAGCATCATAAGTCAAGGAACAAAATTTGGTCTGCATGCTCTGCAAAGCAAGAAGAACAGGTTGGCTATGATACTGTCAAAGTAGCTCCTACATCATTTAATAGACTTACATTCAGACATCATTTCTTTTTTTTTTCTTCTTTTTTTTTAAGAATTTTCTGAAATTCTAATGATTTTCAAGACAAAATCATCTACAGGATGCACTCTGTAGTTAATCAGAGCTCTTCTGAAAGGGAGCCTCTTTCTCTAAAGTTCAAGCAGCCAGATAACTAATCCTGTTACCTTTCCAATTTAATTATTCAGTTTGACTAGGCAGACTTAATGAAATTTAGGAGTAGAATACCTGAAACAATGAAGAAAACACATGGAACGTGTAGACTGCACAGGATCCATCCGTGTCAGACACAAGCTGGTTGATGTGACTTCGCCAAGCCTCCTCAACATCATCATATATTGCTGGTTGGAAAGCTGCGAGGATGGCAGAGAAGAAGGGCGATGGCGGTGGGGAAGAATGGGATTCCAGCATGTCGTCTTTCTCCTCTTCAGTGAGGCTGAGTAAACACAAAGTCATCTTATTACATATAATATGCTAATAATTTTTATTTGTTTATTCCTTATAGAGAAAAGTTGTAAGCATGCACCTGGGCAAGCAGCTGTCAAGGGCCAGTTCTTCTTTATATTCCTGATGAATCATGTCCATTGTCAACGTGTCACCGCAGTGAAATTCAAGGGGCAATTCGATGATGGTGAGAGAGACGTCATTCTCATGGACACTGGTATATTCATCTTCTTGTGACACCTCATGCTGAAAGAAGGCAAGAGGGACAAATGCTTTTTTAAATGTTGGGCAAAAATTACTTGAGTTATGAACAAATTCTGAGGCAACATGCAGTAAATATTATTAATAACTGTTTTTCCTATGTTATGCTTAATAAAGATAATTTTGTGGGTAAAATGGATACACTAACCTTGCAATGGGACCCTATGGTCACTCCTTGTGGTGTTCTCTTTTATTTGGTGAACTTTAGTGTGCATAAATTGTGCCAATTCATGTGTTTCAAAATAATTGGGCCAGCTCTGTGGCCCTGCACACTCATGTTTTGGGACAGGCAATGTGTAAACCCTTCTTGAAATCCCACATGCCAAAAGTTTTTAGTTGTTGCTTAGAGCCACCCACACAGAAGCAATGGGTATACACATTGCCTTAACCAGACAGACACAGGAAGAGAGAGGCTGTTTTTTTTATTGCTGACTATAAGCCCTATCACCCACTGACAGTCTCTGGCAACATAAAGTAGAAACTAGCCCATAGCCCAAAGCGTTATGGATTGCCTACTTGCAGGATTTAGGTAATTTTACCTTTAGCATACCACTACTGAAATTAATTATTAATTACTAAAATATCAAGAAAAAATGGCTCATGCTCCATGTAGAAATGTAGAAATGTAGAAAAGTCACAGCACCAAGTCACTTAACATAAACTCAACCCAAAGCACATATAACATCCATGGCATTGACAAGAAAAGATGCAACAGGACAACTCCTATTTGGCAAAATTAGTGAAGAACTCTAGTATGGAATTGCGATAGGAGTTAGTAGTTTCCAGAATCTCAGACACTCTGAAGCCCTTATTCACCCGCTGTTTCGAGTCCTCTGGCACTTGGACCTCGAAACGAGGATTTTTGGTGTTCAGAGAAGTTGAATCAGTTGAAGTTGTATCAAAAACAGAAGGAGAGTCCATGTTACTGATTTCTGATGTAGGAGAGAGGTTGACAGTCTGAAAAGAGACAAGTCAAACTTGTTGAGGTCTTTTCTAAAACATACATGTGCCATTTTCCATAAAAGTAAAAGCTTTTTTTAGAGACACTGAAAAATAACAGCTAGATTGAAAACGGTAACTGCAAAATCCACACATTCCTAAGCACTGATAGTGGTAAACTCCCTCTAAACTCTCTTGCTCCTGACAGCTGTGTGGACACATGGGCTTTCCATAAAAATTTGATCCTGAGGTTAACAAAAGCCATGAGGTCATTAAAATCAAAAGGCCTTATCCCCATGTATTGTATGTAGGGATCCAAGATGTAAAGAGTTTGTCCTTTAAATGTCCTTAGTAGATTACATCTCCACATTAGATCTGAAGAGTTTGATAAAATTATGATTTAAATTAATATTTATATGGGTATTCTTTTAATGCTACTGGGCTTCAGCAGCTGAGTGTCCTTTCATTATGACTTTTAGTTATTGGCATACAATCAGTTAAACTTACAAGCTGTGAGCGGGATAGTAACTGGCTGGCAGTAAGAGAATCCTCCTCAGACGAGTCGTCTGAGTCTTCATGGGGGATCTTGCTGAGGATGAGCATGCTGCTGGACAGCTGACTCTCCTGTTGCAGGTCATTTCGGTCAAGACTATCCATGGAGCGTCTACGCACACCCCAATTGAAGTTGTCTGTAGTCTCTCCCTGCAATAGAAAATGACCTTAAGTTACCTAGTAACCAAGAAGTAAAGCACAGTCTCTTCTCTAACACAAATACATGCACACACACATACTGCATACACCCATTCACACAACCATGCAGGGCAGTCTCCAGGAGTTTTTCCCCTCAAGCTAAGAATGGAAGGAACACTGGTGCTTGACATGGACTATACTCAATCTTCTACAAAAAAGTCACAGTGCTGCTGAAACTGGCAGAGAACATTCTGTTACAGGTTTTAATCCCCTGAGGTTTTGTTTAAAAGTGCAGAGTGATGCTACTACTGGACATGACTCTGGAGATGTCAGCCAACTTCACATTCCACCAAAGCTCCACATAAACCAATCAAATGAGGGAGACTTCCTGTAGTGAGTAGTGTGATACCTACCACTGATGGAAAGCAAGAGCTTAGTCTCTGGCTTATGAACTTATTTTTAAAGTAAAAAAATACTACATATGAGATCAAAAATAAAGTTTTGAATGCAGTCAGAAATTTTTCAAAAAAAAAAAATTCAAATTACAGATGCTAAATGTGTTTTGGGGAAAACTGAAGACAGACAACTAGTATCATAATGTGCAACTATGCTGGAAATTAACACTTGTGAAAATCAAACCACTCATCTTTTGGTTAAGTACCAAACACATGCATAGAAAGCATTTACATTTTTGTCAAAGGAGAGTTGCATGTAAAATGTCAATGCTTGCTTTTGCTCGATTTCCAGATAAATGAATATATAATGTTGAAACCACCTGAAGATACAACTATACATCAGCTAATAAATCAGTGATCTTGGTTAAAATCACTTCATATTGACATGTTTTTCACTGGTGACTATTAGACTGAAACTAGTACAACACTGTTAGTTCTATGTGGTGTCTACAACATCAGCAATATACTAAACATACTGTGTTTCCAATACTTACAGTCAGCATCTCTTATACTACATGAACAATGCAGAATCTGTTTTGTAAAATTACATGGCATGCACACACATTTGCTACTTTTTGCCATCAGTGTGGCAATCCACTAAATTAGCTGGGCAACCAGACACTCATTTAAGAACAAGGTAAAAATGTAACATGACTAAATGACATACCTGTAGCTCCTAGATAGAACAGACAGAAAAAAACAGAGAAAAGAAACCCTATTACACCAAGCAGGAAGACCTGAGCCAGCACAGTATATGAGGGCTGTTTAGACTGGCATCTTCACATTAATCTCGACCATGTTTTTCTCACTGATCTTACATTACAAGTCTGCGTTGTTGTCCATCAAATGTAAGAGGAAGTAAGACAGAGGATTAATATTTTTCTTACCCACTGTTTTAAACCTTTTGAGGTCACCAGCCTCACCTCTCCATCTTCAAGCTCCACATCCAAGAAATCAAAGTCTCTAAAGACTCTGAACTGCTGCTCTGAGGTGGTATCATCCGCGATGTCTGGTTCCCGAGTCCCATCATCAGAGGACACCAGGCTGGGCTGGTGCTCCACAAGGTCCAGCTCCCCACAACTGGAGAAGATTACCTATACAGAGAAACAATTCGACTAAAATGAAAATGTGGAAAAAATGCAAATTAATTTTTTATGCATAATAAAAACTGGTCAGTTGAAATTAAGAGCACTCCTGAAATTAACTGTATCTTACTGAGGGATTTTTTGTGAGCCCCACTTCTTGTCCACACAAAGACAAAACATTCACCAGTTTCTCCTGTGTTCTTTTCTGCAGAGGGCAAGAGAAAGACAGGTCACAATTCAGTTTCACTTGAACCACATCACAGTTTTATGTGCAGTTTAGTGCAGTCCGAATCTGGATACAATATTTGGATATCGATGTCCAATCCACACATCTTTCATCATCTCCAGATGTGGTTTGGCTGATTTGATCTGCACTCTACATGCATTTACATCTGGCATTAACACGTCTTCCTCCTTATCCAGACAATATATTCAGATGCAGATCACATTTTAATGCTAGGTCTACAGGGGGTAACAAGGTGGTAATTAGGTTTCAAATGCAGTTTCTGATGCGCTTTGAATCGATACAGATGTATTATTAGCCACTCCATATTGCCACACATTTGATGTTTTCATGAACAAATCATAACTACTGTATTTCACACTTTCATCTCTCTCCTTTAAAATTATGAGCACAGTTATAAGTGAGAATGAAAAGAAGTTCTCACCTGTGAAGACTGAGGCCTCTTCCAGCTGACTGGCACCAGGACGTTATTGGAAGTGGATCCAGAAGAGGTAGATGAGGTGCTCAGTGTCAGTGCTCTGGTCCTGCTCTTCACATCTTGGCCTGCAGAGCGCTGCAAGCCATCGTAACGGCGGCCAATCACCGGTGTCTATGAACATGGACACAAATAAATGGACATGTGCAGATAGAAACCTTGGTGAATCAGGGAAAGCATGAAGAACAGAAAGTCCCTCCCTGTGAAAAGGAAAACATTTCCTCTTCTTTATTCTAAAAATATCTGGATATATTATGAAATATCAGTGGTTGGTTCAGTGTGTCTCAAGTTTAAATACACATGCTGCTGGTAGTCTTCACAGAGTCACATACAAAGGACAGCAGCAAAGGGCTGACATCATTTCCTGCCATTCATGAACTACACAAATAGCTCCCTGTTCAGTTCCCACACATACACCACTCTGTCTGTATCTCTGACATCACTTTCCAGCTCTGCACTGCTTGGCTAATTGTGTTTACCTTTCAAGCTTTCAAACTAATCTCACAGGGACTGGTCAAAAAGAAATGTCATCATTAAGGAAGGGGAAGAAATGTTTCCTTTCCAAAAACTCAACAAGCACCACGCCCTGGAAAATACAGGGGGAAAAATACAGGGGGAAACTCACAAGTATTAAGCTCTCCTAATGCTACAGGGAGCTTAAAACCAAGAACTTGCTTGAAAGAAAGAGAGTCAGAAAAGAACTCTCTAACCTCAGATATGTCAAAGTGGAAATCCAGAGTTTTCCCAGGCAATGCCTTGGAGGAGCAATTCCAGACACGGCTGATGTCTTCATAGGAGAGATCACTTTGTGTGGATGAAGGCTGCACCAAACTGGCTGATCGAGAAACCACCAGCTTCAGGATATTGAGTGCTTCTCTCCAATGGATAGTCTATACAGTACACATACCAATTCACCCGCACACACACAGACATAAAAACAACACAACCATGTGTTCAGCAAGAAGCAATCACAAGTGTCTTATGTGGGTTTTAATATGCGTTCTATTTTTGGAGGCAGAGATGTCCTGGCATATACCTTACAGTAGGAAGATAAGGAAAAATAGATTCAGTCTAAGAATAAGCAGAGGTCTGGCCTGAGGCAGAAAGGCAGAATGTTTATAGTTTGGGTGTGTCAATAAATTTACTGCGCTGACACAACATAGCCTTTTTCCTTTTCCCATGAAAACTTACAAAAAAACAGGGAACACATAAGTCTTATTCACAGCCTGATGCCTAAAAATATCCACTGATCACATTAGATCTAACTAGACCTAATCCAAATCATGACCTACACACATATACCACTGGGAAAGTTACCACAGAAATATCCTAAGAATATAAACAGCCATGAAGTAAAAATGAAAATTAGGAAAGACATACAGCCATCATATATTTAAATGCAACTATATGCAGTACGACATATATTTACTGTCGGGGTTTATGTTTCATTTTAGCTCACCTGGACAAATTTCTCAATCGTCTTAAGCACCTCCATGTTGAAAGGTTTGGCTTGAATTCCACTCAGGTCCATGTGATACAGGAGGCTGTAGATGATTTGTAAAAGAGTCTGCTGCATACTGGGGAGACCTTTCTCCAGCAGCTGTTATAACAGAATTAAATGATACTTAATTTATTCAGCACCTTTCTAGAAGCTGTAATGTAATAATTACTGTACATCCCTTTAACTGCTGCTTAGCAAGTATATGATCTGACACTGTGGCACAAACCTCTGCCATGTAAATGACCAGGTTGAGGGTAATATTGGAGAAAGCTTCGTGAAGATATCGACACACCACACTGACCCAAGAGAAGCAGTCTCGTGTGTAGGAGTGTGTTTTATAAACAGTCATGACATGAGCAAGGTTAGAGAGCTTGGCGTGCTTCTCCTCAAGGCAAACCTACACACAAAAATGCATTAGCCTTAAAATATGATTATTTCTGATTGAAAATGAGGACAGAAATGTTAATAGAGCCAAACCTGGGCTATCCTGTCAGCAGCAGCTTTACAGAATGGTGTGGGGTGATCAAAGTTCTGCACAAGATGTGGGAGCAGGCAGAGAACATTCAAGGGAAAACCTATTGGATGAAAAAGAGAAATTATCTCAATATTTTAGATAAAAATATTCACTTTGAGAAAACTTTCTGGAAAAAGTTCAGTGGCATATACTAAAAAGAGTATATGAATACAACTTGAAAAAAAGGTTTTTCTTTGTTTTGCTTTTTTTTAAGTGGCTTAGCATGGAGTTTTCTGAAATGTAACACTAATGGCACATCTAAGGGGAAAGGACAAAAATCACACCAGCACCCGGACAATCAGCACATGACCCCTCTGCTATACTCTTGAAGTGCGCAGATGACATGGCGGTCATCGATCTCATCTGAGACAGTGACGAGCTGACCTACAGAGGATGAACTTCCTGCATAAGCTCAGGAAGTTCAACCTGCCCCAGGAGCTGCTGATACCGTTCTACAGAGGAATCATTGAGTCTCGGCACTTCCACCTCTGTCTGGTTTGTTTCAGCAACCAAATAGGACAGGAACAGACTCCAGTCAGGACTGCTGAAAAAACCACTGGTGCCAGCCTGCCCTCCATGGAGGACCTGTACACCTCATGGATCAAAAGGATGGCAGAGAAGATTTCTGCAGACCCCTCACACCCTGGAGATGAACTGGCTGAACTCCTCCCCTCTGGACGGCACTTCCCCTGGGCCATTACTCTGATGAACAATTAACCCTTACTGTATAACTGTAAACTCCATCTAAACTGTGTGTATATATATATTTCTATATTTATAAGTACTTTTCCTAATGCATATTCCTTTTTCTTGTTTGCACATTCTTTTCTTTTTCTCTCAGTCTTATCTTGTTTACTTGTCTATTTGTTGCCTTATGGAAGAACACTGTATATGCACACTGAAAGCCAGTGTATTCAGCAAAGCTGATTCTAATTCTAAAATCTGAGCACACCAACATTCATATTATCAGTCTTCAACATCCAACGTCAAGTTATCCCTATAGGGTACCTATGACTTGTGACGTGTCCACTACAGGCACTTGTGATACAGGTGTGAGTTGGCAGAAGAGTTGGAGCGTGAGGTCAGTGGTGGACACGGAGGTGAATCCTTTCAGCAGCAGTTGCTGCAGCCCAGTGAAGCCACTCCAATTCAACTGACTTTGCAGTTTTTCCAGCTTCTCCCTGTTCTCCTGTTTGTCTAGTGGCATGTAGTGCAGCAGCTTATTCAACAGTCTCAATGACATCTGATACTCAAACTCAACGTCTGACTCCATCAGTGACACTGCCACCCAGAACACGGTGGCCAACAGGTTGTTGGGATGGTTGATGTTGGTTGGGTCAGTGATGCTGTCTTTGGACATGGATGAGCTGCAGGTCTTGGCTGACAAAAGCTGCTGTTCACAGGCTTGGATACGGTTCATTGTAACACTGTGAGGTGGATCAGACCACCTGTCTGCCTCTCCAAGCTTTTTTGGAACAGAAGAGCTCCTCTGATGTGTGCTCTTCTCATTTCTTAGAAGACTGAGCTGCCCTGTGCTCTTCCTGTTGGACAGCAGCTTGAGAGGGGTCAGGAAATCTGGAGATGAGGCTCTGAAATTAAATAATTGAACAATTAAAGTTACTATATATTGTTGTAACAAGAAAATACCTTCTTTAAACATAAAGACATGTAGAGATGACACAGACCTTGTCAAAATAGCTGTGAGATCATGGCTCTTGAGACCTTCAGCCAAGTTATCCACCACAGATTCCAGTGTAAGTAATACTTCCATCACATAGCCCTGCAAGACAAAAAACTCCTACTATACTCTAAATTGTATGGGCATTTCACAGTGATAAAGGTGCAAAGAAGAAAGTCCTTCCTGGGTTATCCCTAAATACTGTTTTCATATCCACACATTTCACACACACACACACACACACACACACACACACACAACATTACCTGCACGTCTTCTCCATTTTCACCGATAACCTCCACCAGCCTTGAAAGCAGTCTGGACACAGCGTGGGCGGAGATGGACTGGCGGAGGGCTCGAAACACCTGGAAGGAACGGCTGGCATAGTGACGTGACGAACTACACAAGGCGGTTTGTAGTGCCACGTCACTGAGCTGCTGCTCGAGGTAGAAATCTAACAAATACACAGAGAGAAGTACACATTTTAAAATGAAAATTATTAGGTGGTAAAGACAGGGTTCTGGAGTATAATTAAATAATAATTACTGTTAAGGGTTTACCTGATTTGGACTCTTTGAACACGGATATTACATGTTGCAGGAAGTTCGTCAGCTGCCCAGTGCTTTTTGAAATTTGGTTCTTTGGTGAAATGTCTTCATAGCACCACAGTGGTCCACGTGCTCTATAAAATATCAGCCTCCAAATCACTAAGAGCACACACTATATTGCCTATGTGGAGGCCTGCTATGGTAGAATCAGAAGCTTATACAGAACAACCTGACATTGTATTCTTCTGCTTAGCCTGTTAAATATTGTCTGTACTAAAACTGTACTGAAGAAATCAAATCTAAAACATCTAAACATTTCAAGTGGGTTTGCAATTGTAATTGCAATTGCCCAGTGACTACAATTAATTCAAGTAAATGCCAGCTGTATTTTTTTAAAACATCAAATCTAATCTTCTCCTATAAAATCTATTGCACTACACATACAGCACCACCAGGTGGTAATATACATCAAGAAATATGATCAAGTATATCAGAATATCAGAAGGCTATTTCTCACTGCACCTGTAAAACTTTTTTTTCCATATAACATATTTTTTTTGTGTGTAAAATACTGTCAGCAACCCTTCACGGACTGTAAGTAAAACTACATTGTTGGAAATGAGTCTAATAGGCAAATGACATATTGACATCAGTACCTTGTGGTTAAAAACTCAATGAGCTTGTTAGTCTTCTGGCCCATTTTATTGGTGGCCACCAGCTCCTCCACTTCCTGTGAGATCTCAAGCAGGTTGTTGCTGCTACCTCCCAGGCTCAGACTGGATGATGTAGAAGAAGAACTCAGACCAGAATCTGGCACAGGGGATGACTGACATTCCCGCAGCAATTCAAAACCTCCTGACCACAACAGAGAAGCAGGTGTGTGATTAGAAATGTGCTACGAAGGTTCAGTTGGAGGTTTGGTTTCTTTTTCATAAAACTACAACATTCAGGTAGAGATGACAGGTTAATATAAGAATAGAACATGTAGGAAGCAGCATGACCTGTGTTTTCACATGTGGAATTTTATTCCAATTCACCTTGTCTATTGACAGTGTTTATTTAATATGGTGGAGCTGTCAAGTCTAAGTTGCTGCACACACTGATCTCATTGTGGTTGACTTATAAACAAATTCTTTCTGAACAATATTATATGACAAATATAAATGTAATAGATATGGGAATGTGGAATACATTACAAAGATTGAGAAGAAGAACTGATGTTTTCTTTGGACCTCCACAGCAGTGTTATCATTGTGTGGTATTAATGTAAAAATCACAATTTTGAGCACATAAGCACTATTCTGGACATTTCACAATGTGTAGACATTTTCAAAATAAATTATTGGGAGTAAGAGGGGGGAGCCAAACTGGTCTATCTGAACCTGACCAGATGTCCCCAATTTGGGTAAGAGGATAAAAATAGCAGGGTGGAATGCTTTAATCAAGACCTTAGATATCCTCTGTGCTCAGTATTGCTTTTGGCATCAAGTCCAAGTATTTTCCCCAGATAAGAAACTTATCTATTCTCTGAAAGGAATGTTAGCCATTCCTTCCTGATGTTCAGAGCAAGGTGACAAATGCCAAGCTGCTCTGAAAACTGAACCCACCCAGCCACCCTCAGCCTTTTAGTAAAGTGTGAATATGTTTGTAGTTGAGAAAATTCATACAGGTGAGTATTATTAAAAGCCTAGATTTTTACCTGAAGACAAATACTCTGACTGAAGACCTGGCTTGCAGGTGAGTGTCTTTGTGCTGTTCATCTCATGTGTTTGCAGTAAGACTGAGGCAATAGCTTGGAAGTTACTGTTACAGGACAATGAGATGAGCAGGTGAAGAAGGAGACATTTGCTGTGCTCAGACACCTCTGGGCGATAGTGATCCATACCTGAACAAAGGAACCGACCAGTTAGTCTGTTTCATCACACGGTGAATCTAAGCAAACAACACCTTATCTAAAGCTAGGTCCCTTCTCATGGTTTCATCTTGACCTCAGAATCTATAATGAATAAATGATTTCTACCAGAGGGGCAACTTTAACATGACATTTTCAAGTCTGCGTACTCAAATCAAATTGATATTGGACTCAAAACACTCAATTATTATTTCAAAATCTGTCCCAAACCATGGCCCTTAAGTGTTATCTTATATTACTTGTACATCAAATATGCACATATCATGTAATTATAGAAATAATAATTAATAATATATAAATTGGTTGGCAGTAAACTCACCCAAAAACAGGGCATGAAGCAGTAAAGGCAGGTGCACAGCCCAGTCCTCTCTCACACTGTGGTCCACCACCAACTCTGACATGAAGATAACTGCTATATTACACCTAAAACAAACAGAAACGCATAATATAAAGCATGTCGGTTAAATGTAACACACTTTTAAGACAGATTTCAATCAAATTTAATCAAAAAAACCCACAACCTTGTAGTGCATAGCATCCAAATGAAAAAGCTAAGCAATGCTAATTTTATCAGCAAACTGTGGCAGGTCTTCAGAGGTCAAAGATCATTTTCATTGCTGAACTCAAAATAAACGGCCCTAAACATTCTTTATGACTAGCAGTGGTTTTGTTTAAAACTAGATTCCGAATCATAAACAAAATGAGCACATTTTGCATTAATGCCTGCAGCAGTCTAACCTGTGTAATGGTCCTCTAGGAGTGATGGTCTCTGGCAAAAAGTCCACTAGTGGAGCCCAGCACCCTCCATTCAGAGGCATGGGAAGAGGATGGGGCTGGTTGGTCTCAATAACAACCGTCAGCCAATCAGCATAGAGGAGCAGAGGTTCATCTAAATGGTTACAGAATATTATAATGTTTACATTTATCCCACCTCACACATATAGCAAACCCCAATCAAATTACTGGAGTTTGTGGATCCTTCATAGCTGGACATGGGCGACATGTTATGTTGGTACATGGCACAGATGGGAAATGCATTTAAATAACTTACAATATTACACCATAGAGGAGTGTAGCTGTCAAAAGGGCATGCCAGGATTCCTTTCATTGTTAGGTTATTCTTAGCCACATTTAATGTGTGGGATGAACTGAGCCCAAGAGGGTGTAACAAACCTGTTTCTGGAATATTGGCTGCAGTGCAGACACCCTGGGTTTGACTACTTTTGTGACAGTACCAGTTCCCACAGACTCCTTTTAAAAGCCCCAGACAACTCTGCACTGCTCGTGCGTTATCAGTGACACCATTTACAACCAACCCAGCTTGTGTATTCCACTCTCAACAGACCATGACAGGCACATTTTTTCATAGGATGTGTCTTACAGAAAAACACTCACTCTTATCAACATCGTAGGATCCTCCTGAGCTGTTACTGTAATGGGATTCTAGGCGGTTGTGTGCTCGCATTATGTGGCAAAGCCTGAGGTCAGAAAAAAAGTCACTGTGATGGATCTTGCTAATGCGGTAATTAATCAAAGTTTTAAGATCTCACTGTCTAATGTACCTCTCCTGATTCTCTTTCACAGTCTTGGTATCATCTGTGTCAGGAAAGCTCTCCTGGCCAGCCACAACAGTACTGTTACTCGATGTGGTGCCTAAAAATCAACCAAAAAAGAGCTGAAGTATTTTCAAGGAAAGGCAACTGAAAATAGTCTTTAACATCAAAACTGCTTCACATTCACTACAGAAATCTGTCCAAACCAAACAAGGTTTTCTGTGTGTTGGCCAATTAGTGGTTTCTCTGGAGCATTTGGGTTTGTCTAGTTGGCTGCCTTTTCAGATAAAAAAAAAAACCCATATTAATTGTTAATTCTGTTCAGTGAGACACACGGTAGATAAAAGATGTACCTGAAGCTGCTGTGAAGGCCTTGCTTGTGGCAGTGAAGCGATAGAAAGGAGGGCTATCACAGTGCTGCACAACAGGGTTGACTGGATCCGTTTGTTGTAACTCAAATATCAACTCCTCCATGGTTTGTATGGTGCTATTCCGGCACAGATAGATCACCACCTTCTTGATCTAACAAAATGGATCACAGAATATCTGTGAGAAAATGGAAAAAAGCTACAAGGCTACATAACATTTTCTAGCAAACCTAAATGATATATGTATCTTACATATGACAGAAGGCTGGTGTCACTGCTGACACCACATAAGCTGATGAGAAACTGCAACATGGTTCTCAGATTGCTGGTCCACTTCTCATTGCTGACCAAAGCATTCCACGCATTTTCCATCTCTGGCCCAGGCAGGTCGTCTCCATACTGACCAGGAGAGTTAAAAAGGCATCATGTAAATTATCTTGACCTTAGAGCACCAATGCCTTATTTCATTACATTCCCCTCATGTGACTTTACCTTGGCTGTCATGAACATGAGGTTATTGAGAACCATGGATGTGGCTTGTAAGGACCCCCAGCCACTGCCTTTCAGATGGTGTGATGAACTGGCGCTGGTCGTCCGACTTGAAGCATCATAATCTGGGGTACACGGTGTGAAGACTGGGAGCAGCAGGCCACTATCCACCAGCTCGATGTTACCAAGCCAGGGCAAGAGGTAGGTTAGCATGATCTGCCTCCCACTGGGATGAGTGGTAGGGAACCTCTGGCTAACCTCTGGAACAAGCAGAAGAAACATACTAACATAAGAATAATGTCACTGCGGTGTTTCTTTTGCACATTATACTCAGTTTCACCATAATTGCCGGTTTAATCCCAATCCACATATGAACTCAATTTAAAATAGGAGTCCCTAAATCAAGTTAAGCTCTCTGTGTTGCTGTGGTCAGTGGGAGTGTCCATAGATACAGTAAGTGTCTCAGTAGTGGGAGAGGAAATCTTCTCTGAAAGATGAGTGAGCAGTACTTAGTGGGAAACCAAGAGAAGATGACAAGCCTGTGAGAGTAGTACAGCGGGCTATAATACGATGGTTAACCCTATTGTCACCACACACAGCACACATGCAACAGAAACAGCTACCTGAAAACAGAGGAAGTGTGAGCTCAGGATACATCCTGGCCAGCTGGCTAGAGAGCTGAGGCAGGGAGACACTGTACAGAGGTGGCAGTGGACAATGAGTGCCGTAGAGGACGCTGTTTGACCTCTGCCCTGCAATCCTCTTAGAGCATACAAACAACCTAGCTTCAAGAATCTGTTCAAAGAAAGGGGAAATATGTCACTTAAGCTGTAACCACTTAACCCTATTCATAAAACCGTGGTTATGTTTCTCACCTGCATTAGCTGCATTGAGATTTCATAGATATCTCTGCTGGTGTCTGATGCCTTGAAGAGCACCAGGTTCAGCGGCGTTATGATATCACTTGGGCAGTTTTTGCTAAGAAAGATTGCTAATAAAGAAAGAGAAAAACAAAAAGCTATGAAATAATGTTAAATTATTAATACACTGAGGCGGTGTTCCACTTGATGCTGGGATTAATGCTTCTGATGTAAAGTAGCAGGAGAAGGGCCAACTTCAGATAAATAGTGAAGATTAGCTGAGTTAAAGATTTGATGCCTAAGATAATTTGCCTGTGGTTTTCCTCAATTAGAAATTGGGATGATTCATTAACTGCATCTTAAAAAAGTGACACACAAATGAGCGTAAAATGGCACAACACAAACTCCACAAAAAGAAATGACAGAGGAGAACATAACGATATGTACAGACAGATGACCCTGAGAGATTGTGAGACTTAGTACCTGCTGCCACAGACTGCAGCAATGGCTTTGAAGCAGCCTGAGGCGAGCTCGTAGGAGCCTGTGTAACAGCGATCCACAGCCCAGTTGAATAGATTAACCTGGTCAGGATTGAGCTCCAGGAGCAGGATGACAACCTCACAGCCAAGATGATGGACCTGAGGCAGGAGCAGAAACCAAGACACACTCTCTTGAATTTCACTTCATTATTTAAAAGGATATGCAGTTTTCCTGATTTTACATTAAAGATTATCTGATTATTGTCTGTGTTTACTGTCATTCAAATAAATTACATTTTCTTGGCTACCTGTCCAGTTAATGTTCATGAAGCTATGCAAAGATATTATGAGGCCTCACAGTCTATTTTGCCAAGTAAGAATGTGTTAAATAAACATGCAACTGTTTTATCTTCTATTACAGGAAACTGGAATAATATCAGACAAATATATTTTGAAACACAAATCTGCTTCATCACTTGTCAATACAACATAATGGCATTCAGTTTGCAGGGTCTAGAGCAGCAAGCTATCAGAGGGTCTTTCTGGGTCAATTCTTTGCTTAAATACACCACATTGGTAAAGTATTGGCCACATACCCGTGGATCCTGGCAGGCTAGTATATTATCAAGCCACTTATAGAGGTATCCATCTGGAGAGAGGCCAACACTATCAAACACAGGCCCACAGCACAGCACAGCGGACATGGCCTAGAAGAACAAACATCGGTCAAGACAACTCAGATGTTAAAGGTTTTAACATCCAAGACAAACTTATTTGCAGCTCTGCTGTTTCTCTTACAATGCCACTGCTCCATCCCCAGAGGACTTGTCAAATCATTGCAAAATAATAACACATATACCAGTGTAGCAATTTAAGATAACAACTGGCAAACATAGTGAATTCTGTCTAAGTTTTCAACTGTGATCCTGTTTTCCAGCTGCCTACATCTGTTGTTTTCTAAGTCCTAAATATAGCAGCGGGACAAGAGATAAAGTTTGAATGCTGATGATCCCAGGATTT